ACGGCCATCTAACGCGATTATAAAGATTCATACATACACGTACAAAACATAGATATGCTTTCACATAATTATACATTCGTTTAGAAGCACGCATGCGTAAGTGCACACATGAATGTGGTGTGTGTGTGTGTGTGTGTGTGTGTGTGTGTGTGTTGTGATGTGCGCGCTCATGGCGGATGGTATTGTGAGCAAACGCAGACGCTACAATGTCGAGTACGTGCAGGTAAACACGAGCATTCAGCGCTGTGTAAGCGGAACCGTAGGGCCGCACCGTGAAACTCTGCTGTAATAGCGACTCGCAGTAATGCACACACTGCAGAATGTTTGCACGCGCGGGCGAAAGGCAGGTGAAAGTTTCACTTCCTGTTACCGTTTGCAGGCGAAATGCTCACTCCCCCCACCCCTCCCACCCGCTACCACTGAGAGGTGTTCGTGCGATTTAGCAAACCCGCTCTTCCCGCTTGCTTGCGTGTGTTTGCAGCGGTGCTAACCCGGCAGGGATTATCCAGAGAGTGTTTGATCCGTGTAAAACGCTGACCCTTCATCTCCGCCGTGCAGCGAGACTAGCAGATCGAGCTGCTGCTGCTTAACACGAACTGATCGACGAATGAACGCGGAAGAGTTAAGAGAGTTTGAGTCTGTGATGGCCGCAGGAAAGTGACGCTTGTGTGCCTGTACAGCCGATCTTCTCTAAGTATCGCAATCTTCTTCTGTTGCTAGCGAACAAAAGGCTGCGTGCGTGTACAATGGGTGCCTTGCACGTATAGCTGTTAATTCGTTTATACCGTGGAAAAAAAAATATAAGATGATCTGTTTGTTTCTGGTTTAAATGGCGGACGTTGGCATTGTCGGTTATAGCCTGAGACGTTGCGCCACCTGCCGGTGAGACGGGGTCTTTCACGCAAGAAAATCTAACATCGGAATTCAGAAAGGAAATCTGTCATCACTGTCCGCGGTAGAAAGGTGCACTATTAGTGAGAAATTAGATGACAAAGGCTAGTGTTGCAGGCAGGTTTTGGTGCGAAATGATCCAAAGAAAATCTCCTTGGACACGGCAACCGGAGGTCTTTATACCCCACGTTGCGACGCATGCGCAGAGCACTTACCGCTGACGCATGCCGGGAGCTGGCAGACGAACGGCTGTAGCAGCGCACACTGCGTGAACGTCCACAGTGGCGCACCCTGCCGGAGACTCACGCCGGCACAGGCGCCCTCTCGCGTGTCGGGTTGTGAGTCGGCCCAGTAACCTTGGAATGGCGTCACGAATCGACCATCGCTCCACTGAAGACCGGACTGCGTGAGAGCATTCAGACCTACGCATGCGCAGAAAGGGAGGGGTCAGCGTTGCAGAAAGTCAAAGGTTAAAGTCACAGTCAAACCTAAAATGTCAAGTTCGAAGTTCAAGTAAAAGTAAAAGCCAACGTCAGAGTAAAATTCAATTCAAAGTCAAAGTCAAAGTCACCATCAAACCTAAAGACAAAGTCAAATTAAAACTAAATATCCAAATTAAAACTAAGGTCAAAGCCAATGTCACTGTGAACGTCACTGCTTAGAAAGTTCGCACTGCTGAAATTAAGTTATACATAAGAACATAGCCTAAAGATGATATCGAATTAAACACCTTGTGATAGAGTCAACATTTGTCTAGTAATTGCTATAAACAGCGTTATACGCAGCTAACAGCTACGTAGTCCATGTTATTGCGTCAATTTGCCAGCATAAGCTGTTATATCAGGCTCACCTATCCAATATGTCTGCAATTGGAGATCTCCGGCTATTTTACCCACGGCTTGATTGGCGCTGCTACTCTCTATAGATACTAACTCACTGCCGTAGCTGAAAGAGATGGCAAAAGCGGTGTAAGTGGAGGATTATATTGCTACAAATCAAATTCTAACATGTATAACCTCGTAATCGTAACTTAAATTTCGTACTTCGACTGAATATTTGCGATATACCGTGATAATTTCTGCATAAATCGTTGTATTCTGATTTTATATTCACAATTTTATATCTGTCACTCGATCAGTGTCCCCCACCTCCCTGGTTTCCCCAGGCCTCCCCTCCCCAGGTCTCTGGCGTCCCTGCTCTCCCATCTCTGCCCTCTAGTTCTTTCTCTCTCTCTCTCTCTCTCTCTCTCTCTCTCTCTCTCTCTCTGCTGCTCTCTTTGCTCTCTCTCTCTGGCTCTCTCTCTCGCCTTCCTTCTCTCTCTCTCTGCTCTGCTCTCTCTCTCTGCTTCTCTCTCTTTCTCTCTCTCTGCCTCTCTCTGCTTCGTCTCTCTCTCTCTCTCTCTATCTCTTTTGCTCTCTCTCTCTCTCTCTCTCTCTCTGCTCGTCTCTCTCCTCTCTATCTCTTCTCTCTCTCTCTCTTCTCTTCTGCTGCTCTCTCTCTCTCTCTCTCTCTCTCTCTCCCTCTTTCCCCTTCGCTCTCTCTCTCTCTCTCTTTGTCTCTCTGCATGTGTATCTGATATATGTCACTCACTGCCTCCCATCTGGCTGGTTTCCCCAGCTATGTTTCTCTACCTATGTCCGTGCTCTCCCACCCTTCCCCCAGTTCTCCCTCTCTCACCTTTTACACGTCTGCATCGCTGCTCGCCACGTCTGATGGCCGGTGAAGACTCTATAGCAGACGTTGTCGTGTCGCGTCCAGTCGTCAGGACACGTGAACTCTAGCGTGGAGCCATGACGCTGCTGCTGCTGCTGCTGCTGACCCTGTAGCTGAGGCTCCGTACCCGGACGTGTGTCCTGTCCGCGCGGTCTCCCGGGGAGACGCCGGGAAGGTTGCTGTCCTCTCGTCTGCTGTAGATGAAATGATAGAGTAACGGTGAAGAATGTATGAGGATCATAACAACGACTAAACTATTAATGAATTATGTGATATACAAAATAAACGACATATAATAATAAATTATGTAATATAAAAAATATAAATATTATAATAACGAGGGAGTTCAAGAACCTATTACGCACGGCTAGTTGCTAATTCTCAACATGCTAGAAATAACCAATATAGTGTTAGTAAAATGTGCCTGCGTATGTGTGTGCGTGCGTGTATGCGTGTGTGCGTGCGTGTATGCGTGTGTGCGTGTTGCGTGTGTGCGTGCGTGTATGCGTGTATGCGT